AGATCATTTTCTTAATTTCATGTCTAACCTGAAGGTTGTGTTTGAACTCTAACTTTAGAGACTGTTAAAAGTGCAATGGTGGCATTCTACCTGTTTTTATATCTGAAAATAAATTTGAGGTAGTTTTATCAATCAAAGTTATTATATTTCAGAAAAAAGGGATCCATAGATGTGGAAAATGTAGACTGAACTTCCTCACCTACAAGGAAAAAGTGGAGCACAGGACTCACGTCCACAAGACATTTAGGAAGCCGAAAGCCTTGGAGGGCCTTCCTCCGGGTACCAAGGTCTGAGCTAGTCGTTAAATGATCAGCTGGAGATTTTTATTTCTGTACAAATGCTTTATATCACATTAAAGTATCTCTTGTTGCTGCAGGTAACAATCCGGGCCTCCCTGACTGGAAAAGGACCCGTAACGCCACTCAATTCCCATAAATCCGCTGTGGTCGTCACTCCAGAACCAATGTGCTTCCCCAACTTTAAAGTCAAGGCTCCAGTTAACCTCAGCAGGTCTAAAACAAAAGACGCTCGCACAGGAAAGGTCAAGACTGCCCCGAACAAAAAGACAGAGCGTCATCCCAAGCACAACTTGGCGCTCAAGAATCTCAGGTTTCTTTATTCTAAATACAGAAAATTTACCTCACAAAAATATACATCCATCAAAGAGTTTGCTGTGAATCCTCATTTCCAGAACATGAAGCACCTTAATCATGCTTTTGTGAACATCCTAAATTAGCATTAGCTTTGCAGTTTACAGATGAATCAAATTAAGTTTGCCTTGCTAAATATATGGTGTAAAAGGCTGAGAAATTTAGTTTGAAGTAACCTTTGATCAAATTAATTATTGGCATTTGCAGCTGAACAGAATTTACAAAGAAATGTTAAAATATGTCTGCCCTTCTCTATATGTTATAATTTTTTTGTGTTGTGTTTTCAGTACCAGTGGGGGCAGCTTCACATGCATCGAGTGTAACTCCAATGTGGACGACTTCCTCTCCCATTTTCCAATACTTTCACACTGCGGGGCATGCAATTATCGGACAGGTTGTAAAATATCTTACGGGAACCACATGATTAAGTAAGTAATAATTCATTTTATGTTAATAGGGATTCTTGCATTGTATATCAAAGCATCTGATGTTGCCTTTCCTCCCTTCTATTAGATTTCATAGCACCTTCAAAAGGAGGGTTTTGAAAATGGATCGCAAAAAGGATTTAGCCAGATTGAAGTAAGCAAACTGTTTCGAATTTTGTTGAAGTCTAAAGATCTGAAATGAAATGAGACAAAGTGTTGTATTATTTTTTTTGATTTGCTTGTTCAGATTAACCCTCATCTGTCTGAACTGTGATCTACATGTTGATGCCTCTGGTGGAGACCTAATGTCCAAACATTTAACAGATCAGCCAAATCACTTATGTAAAGTCATCCAGGAAAAAGGTTTGTATCTTTAAATTCTGTGGCACTTTGCAGGCTTATTTTTTTAATTTTGAGTAAAGAAAGAAGTATTTTTCTTTTTTGGTTGAACATAACAGATATCAGAGCTGAAGACAAAGACCAAGGCACAGTGTGAGTAGAAACTCCTGACTGCTGACATTACATCTCATTTCTTTAAAGAATAACACAATGAAGAACTACTATTATTCCTCCATGGTTTTACCTGTTAGCTGACCAGGCAGTGTTTAGAAGGCTATTCCTGGGATTTCCTAATCTAAATGTATTGGCCTTCATACTGATTAGAGACCCCAACACACATTCTGATACTTGGAGTGAATGAAATCAGGGCTTATATGTATCTAAGAACAACAATGGGGAAATCTGTTTGTCTCAATGTCACAACCAATATTATTTAAGGCCTTCTGTAAGATAAGCAGGTCTAATTTATAAACAAATGTTGAAATCAATTATTTACATTTATTTTAAAGTCAGTTACATAAAATCCAGTTTGACTCTAGTCATAAATGAGGAAAAAAAGCAGTGAACGGACTGTTAAGTTGGTGGTAACTGCAGATGGGTCATTGTTGGTGAGTAGCAGGATGTTGTATTATTTTCTCCTGTTCTGTACCAGCGTCCCATTAGAGTGGCTCGGGATATGAGGTTTATCAGAAAGGAAAGTTTTAAGTCTGGTCTTAAAGGTGGTTGGGGTGTCTGCCCCTCGGAATAAAAAAGGAGTTGGTTTTCCAGGATAGAAGCCTGAAAATAAAAGATCTGCCTCCCATTCCTCTTTCAGGAACACTAAGAATCACCAGAGACCTCGCAGCTTGGGAGGGAAGTTTTCTGTTAGGAATATAAATAATCTGATAGATGCTGGATTTTGATTATGAAGGGCTTCATGTGTGAGGAGGACAATTTTATGTTCCAGTCTGGATTTGTTGGGGATATGAAGTTTCCTTGTATATACACAAGCGCAGCTTTAATACAGCTGTCTGGATAAGATAACGGATCATAGTTTTTTTCTGTGGTAGCAAATATATTTGTATTAATTTAATCTGTGGCACCCAGAAAGAACCAACCAATCACTTGATTGCGCTGGTGGTTAGCTTTAGGATGCAGTTTTTTTGTTTTTTTAAAGCAGGTTCATGTTGGTTTTTAAACATTTTTTTTCCCCCTTTCACCTTTTTTTCACTGAAAACACCTGTTTGTATTTAACACTTTAAAGCCCAATCCAAGAATAAAACAAAACAGAAAATTACATTTTTTTGGTTTGAAGTCTTATTTTGCCTTTTAACAAAATATGTAAAAAGAAAAAACAGAAATACATTTTTGATAATAATAATTTATTACTATGCGATAAGTCAAGATTATTTTTTGTGTGGTCTTCTGCCCTCTGTTATCAGATATATCTGATTGTGTACAATAGGATTTTGAGCAAAGTTTTTACCATTAAATTATGCAAAAGGTATCAGACGCAAAACATTTCAGAAACCGTATGTATCAAATATGATACATTTGGCATTACAGGGTTAACAAGGTTATCTTTACCAGCTTTTATGCTTTGATAATTTGAAACACAAAAGGACAACAAAAATGCAAAAACACTAGAAATACAGAAAGGGGTAAAAGTCTTTTGGCATTGTCTAAGTAACTGCTGTGGATGACACTACTGAGGCAGATTCAGGCATCACTGGAGAAAGATGTCTCCCTATGTTGGACATCTGTAGCTGAATGAGTTCATTGTTGAGTTCATTCATTCACTTTTTCCTGTTATCTGTTTATGTATAGCTGTAACCTCTGAGTTTTATGTAGAGAGCAACTTTAAACTAAAAAAAGTAAATTCTGTGCTGTATAAAACCTCATATAGGTGACATTTAAATATACTTATACGTGCTTCGTTTGATGCAGGAATCTTCAGCTGTCAGGGGATGACAACCAGACAGCACCCCCCTTGCCAACAACAGCGCCTGTAGAACCGACAGAAATTGACTCCAAAGAATCCCTAGATAACACCGCTGGAAGTGACAATCTCACTGATGTTAGCCGTCCTGGATCGGAGCTCATTTTACCAGCAGGTGATCAGGAAAATGAGTCGATAAAACCCTGTGCAGATGAGGGAACTGAATCAAAATGCTCGTCTTTGGAGGCCGCATCATCATCATGTTCAGCAGATTTGCTCTTAGTTCCCTCTGAGGAAGCTGAGGGTCAGCCTGAGCGGCTGAATGACATCGATCAGCCGTCGGCTTCAGACAGTCTGTTGGATCCATTGACAGGAGAAAAGACGCCTTAAGTTATGAACCTTAACGCAGCAGAAGGGACAGGTGAAACAAATCCTTTACATTGTTTTCAAAACACATTGAGGATATGAAACATTTGTCACGCTTTGACTATTCATGACTGCTTTTCTCCAACCAGGTCAATTTCAAATGTTATTCAAAGGTTTCATCAGCACCTGTACCTTTATAAAAAGCCCAACAGATTGTATTGCATCCCTGCTGATCCCGGGATACCGTCGGTTTGCCGCTAGACTTGAATATTTTAGGTTCATTTTTTGTTTCTTAAATACTGGTGTGTAGTCTTTGCAGCAATTAATTTAACATCCTTTAGGAAACATTAAAGAATAGTACTGTCCTTTTTTCATGTTGGAAAGTTTATATATATATATTTTTTAATTGCTTTACAAGCTTTTATCTTAATGACAAAAGATGTTTTACTTTGGGAAACGAAAATCAGTCAAGCTTTTGAGTTTTAATGGTCCTGTTACCATGCACGAGGAAATATAACTCAGCTGTTTTAGGGATTGTTTCAGCAGTTTATGAAACTTTAGTAGAGACATCCATTTTCTTATTTAGATTGTTTAAATTACCAGGAATATGTTTTGTCTTAATTTGTAATTTGCTGTCATTATGTGATGTGTGGGATTTTATTTTTTTTTCTTCTCAAGCAAACTTTTGCATAAAATGTTAAATTTACAGGAAATTCCCCAGCATTTAGCAAATTAATGGCCTTTCATTCAACAGGATTTTGAGTTACTAAAAGAAAACAATGTTGGATGTTATCCCTAAGGAGAGCTGTATGAAAAATGTGTCTCGGAAGAGCACATTGAGAAATAAACACATTTTAATAGTTAAGGTAACCAAATCAATGTCGGCCAGAACTGTAACCATGTCAGTTTTCTGTCACAGCTATGTTCCTTTAAGAATATGGGAATATTTCAAAAAGCCACTTTCATTGTTTTAATTTTATCAGTAAAAAAAGCCTGTAAATACATTTACATTATGTATAAATGTTTTGATGATATCGCCATATTGATCCCTATATACATTACATTATACAGGGATCTGCATCATGGGTTATAGCAGCAGAGAACTGTTTTTGTTCTGTAAATAAATCTTGCATAGAAGACTTGTTAGGTATTGAATTTTTCTTTTTTTCTTTGCTTCAAATCAACAGGCAGATTCCACTTGCAGTTAATAAACAATCCAGTAAAATTGGATTTCCGAATCCACTTTAGACCAGTTCTGAGGGGGTTTTGGAGTACGGTCCCTTTTTGTTTGGTTACTTTTGATTTTTTTTTTCCTCATCTTTGAACTATACTGGAGTTTTGGATTCTGATGACAGGAAAAAAAAAGCCCCCCGTTAGCTCCTTAAAATTAATTTATAAACTCACCTAGTTTTTAATGTGATCTTATGATGATCCCCTAGTGTCTTAACAGGAATATCATCTACACCTGCTTATCCTCACTGGGTCACGGGTGCCTACCTGGACAACTCTCCTGTCCACCACACAGGACAAACCATCATGTGCCCATACTCCCTGTCCTAAGGGTCATTTAGAGAGACCAGTTGACCTATCAGGTTTTAGGGTTCAGAAAGAGCTCAGAAAAGACTGGATTCTGCTGTTTCAAGAAAACACTGTTTCAAAATCTCCTTTAAGAACTGAAGCTCCTGTATTTAACATCTCAAACTATCTCTGACCTTATAAAACAACATTCAAGGGGATCTGTTGGGTACAAAGTGCTCTTAAGTATTGCTGTGTTTGCCTAAATACACCTTTGGAAGGGAACCAATCCACCAGCTCCCTCCAAGAGATGGTAACATGTCTCTCGGAAAGTGTCGGAGGAAGTGATGATTGATTAAAGACTTTTTCTTCTTGTAGATTGAGATGCTTGGGAAGTTCTGGGTAATCAGTAATGTAGATCTGGAGAACTTACTACCAGGTCCCTTGAGCTATTTTAGGGATGTTTCAGGATACTGTGTTATGTCTAAAGGCCAGGTAATTTTTTTTATGACCAAAGCAAAAACTTAACATTTAGCTTGTTCAAGGGGTATATTGGTGAGAACAACTGTTTCTAACCCCTCCTGATCCTGTTTTAGGTTTTAATGTACCAAACCTCAAGGGGTAGTCATGAGGTAGAGTCTCTGCTCCTCTGCTTTAAAAGGAGCTGGGTATGATCTAATTAGGCTGCTTCCAGAGAGCCTTTTTGTGGTGATTTAATGGGGGTGACCCAAGAGGAGACCTTACTGGCAGGGAACCATGGGATCCAGAGAGAACGGGAGGAGTCACGTGTCTGAGAGAAAAGGTTTCACCTCTTTAACCTTTTACCATTTACCGGAAGAAAATGAAGGCTGGACAGATCTGAAGTCTTTTGGAGTATTTATTGAAGTATTGCTCTCTGATGCAGCAGACCTTAAAAATACTTTTAAACAATAAGAACAAACAGGACTTAAGGATAAATTATATGTTTACAGATAAAGCAGATGGGTTCCTAAAAATAGGGCATTAAGGAAATTAAACGTGGAAAATCTGACATAGGACAATAGAAACCAGATGAGGCTCTAAAGTCACTGAATCAATCCCTCTGTAAATAATTGTGATCCTACAGCACACCTATTCCTACTAATTGGTCAGTAATGTTTTACATGCCATCTGTTTTAGTTTCATTTTAAGTGATCCCCTATATTAAGATGTTGCTTTTTATCATCATGAAGAGATCAGAAATTCAAGAAGGAATTAGTGGGAAAGTAGAGGAAAGCACAGAGGTGGTCATGGACGAAGAAGGTTCTTACATTAAAGCTCCTGGAGATTTAATGTTATGTCATTTACACCTGTTAATGTTTTCATGAATAATATCAGCATCTTTTCAGAAGGTTCTCTCTATAGTGAAGACCTGGAACATCGAGCAAGATTTCAGAAAACGTTTTTCCTTTCATTGACCACTAGATGTCAGCGTTGCTGCAGTGAATGTGTGACAGGTTTAGAGAAGAAACACCTTTATTTTTGAAATGTTTTTATATATTGAAGTTATTTTTCTGTTTATGCTTATGCTCAGTTCAAAAAACATTCAGTGGGAGGGAATCCAGTTAAATTATAAAGGAACTGAGCTCTTGTAAACTGATGTGTTACACTGTGAAAACAGAAATATTTAAAGAAAACGAAAAAGTTGTACACTATGAACAATTACTGTTAAAACAAACAAACTGATGAACCACATTCATGGCTTCCCCCAGTCCAAAGCTTTCATGAACTCCTCTCCTGTGAAGGACAGCATCTGCGCAGCTTCTAAGTGCATCTGCTCACACAAAGTCTTGTTAAGTTTTTTTTTCTTTTTTTTTTTTAAGAAAGACATGAACCCAGTACAGGTGTAAAATAAAGATACTCACCTTTTGTCTTTTAAGGATGTCAATCAACTTCAGTTGTTTCTGGAACCCAACAACAAGTTCAGCTCTCTGCTTCTTAAGAATTTGGTTTTCAGCAAGCAGATTTTCTTTACTTTGTTCTTCACTTATCTTGTCCTAATTCAACACACAGAAAATCAAGACATTATACCGGAGCATAGCCTCTCTTTTTATCAGCCTATGCATCAGGTTGCATACAGTTTTAAGTTTTTTAATTCATAACGTAATTTGTTAGTGACTTAAAATGTAGCTAACAAAATATTTGGACTCTAAATCTTCCTGTGTTGATCCAGTCTAGTTTATGTTTTAAATCCAAATGTTGCCGCTATTACTTTTTTGTCAAACACAGACTAGAAAATCTATTTATTGTCCCTCAGTGGGGAAATTCTGGTGTTTACAGCAACAAAAAGATTATAGAAAAAAATGGTCACACCAATATGGACCTTAGAAAAATGTGTAAGAATAACATGAAGCATGTTGAGTAAAAGTAGTGACATGACTTCAATTATAACAAAGATTTCTGGTATTTATCTAAGTATCTGAGTAATTAAACATGTTCTTACCTTGTTGATTTGCTTGGCCTTACTCAGCTCGGACTTTAACCTCTCCACCTCCTCCAGAGCTCTGTTAAGGCGGACCTCCTCCGTCCCGTGGACAGCTGCTGCTTGCTCTTGGGACCTATTCAGAGTTTCTACTTCCTACACAGAGCAGAGCAGACATGATAGTCATGGGGCCAGACCAGCTAGCAGGAAGGATGAATGATGCTGCCGTTTCTGACAGTATTTTATTTTTTTTTACATAGTAATCCTATCAAAATTCTAACAAGTAGTATTCATGTAGTCACTGACACAAACCTTGCTTAAAGCAGCCACTTGCAGCTGGAGATCATCACATTTTTTAGCCAACTCTTCGGCCAAAGCTTTCTGTTTCTCTGTCTGTGTTTGCTGGATGCTGACGGTCCTCTGCAGTCCGGCTCTTTCCTCCTCCAACTCTTTTATTTTTGCCGTCAGCTTAGAATTTTCTGCATCCTAAAAGACAAGGAACAATTGCTGCATACTGTCTGTGGATAAAGTATATAGTCCAAGAGCTGGATTGAAGCGACTCCTTTAAAATTGGTGCATTCTGGGATTCATATTAATAGCTCTGTTTACCTTTGTAAGATAATCACAATAAAGCAGGTCATGTTCTTCCTGCATAATTCGAAGTTTTGCCTTCAGCACTCGTGTCTGAGCATCAGAAACAGCTGGAAAGGGAAACACAATCATTACGGTCTGACTAAAGCAATCTGTAAATTACAAATACTGGATTCCTAAGGGTCAAACATGTCCTCACTGTTTATTATAATTTTTTCTTTTGAGCAAGAAATATTTTAAGATATTAACAAATAAGGTAGAACATAAAGCACAGGGGAGCTTTTTCTGTTTCATCCGACTATTTTAACTGGACGTACACTGGATGCATTTCCAGAATTCCCAGCATGAAGACACTGAACCAGTAGTGGTAATCCTTAATACTGTGTTTGATTCAGATTCAATCTGGAAAAAAGTTAATGCTAACCCTAAATTACCCATGCCCCCACTGTAAAATGAAAAGTTACTGGGATTTGCTAGGTGTTATTTTCAGACTTCAGGTAAGCAAACTATTAAAGTGTTCATCTCTGCATTTTGCCTTGATTTATCCTACTTCAGAGTTGGTGATTTTAACTTCTGATTATGAATCTAACAGATTATTAAAATGTCAGACGCTGATCATTACTCACAAATATATAATAAACAGTTGTTTCTTTTTATGGCATAGCACAACAGACAAAAAATGTCTTATCCCTGTTTAAAATTCTAAAGATGGTGGAACCGGCCAAACATGGAAATTACAAATGTTTTATTTTTAATAAAAAGTTTTGTAAGAAGAGATGAAGTGGATACACATGAACATTGCAGAAGGTCACCTGATTCCACGTCATTTTCTGCGTTATCCACAATATCTTCTGGAATAGAGTCCTTCATTTTCTCTTCCATGCTCTGAATAGTCTTTGCTAAGAAGAAACCAGCTTCATCTTCTAAAGCTGCTGTATCATCTTTCTGAGGAGGATCCTTCAGTGTTCTGGAATAAGCAAAACCCTGGTGTAGTTAATAGACATTTAAGCCGTCAAAATGGTTGGACAAACAAACACACATTAGCAGTTTAGTTATTTCTAATATTTTCATTGTCAAGATCTGAAGGTTTCGAGGTATTCGGATGTAGCGGGACATTAATTATTTATATGTGAACTCTTCTTTCCTTGTACAGGTCTTACCTAAATTCATCTTCATATTCCATATCCAAGAAGAGCCCATTGGAGAGGGGAGATGATAGAGCTTCATTTTTCTCTTTCTAAAATTCCATAAAAAAAAAACTAAATATTAATCTGAGCTTTACAGAAAGTTTAACCTTCAAAACTCACTTAGGTTTTCAATATTCTCTGCATCAGTGAACCCTTTTAGCTTTTGAATTTCAGCAGATTTGATTTCCATAAATATTGGTGTCAGCAGATAAACAAAGAACTCACCATCAGTTGCTCTGCTTCTTTCACCGTTTTTGCTGTTTTGGCCTCTATCTCAGCATTCAACAGCCTGATTGAAGAATTAAGAATTTTTAGTACCATCTTACTAGTCAGTTTATAAGCCACACCTAACACATGGCCACCAGGCATCATATTTATATTATTTAAGAAACAACCTTTCATTGTGAAACCTATTGTTAAATAAAATTTGTCACTAAAAATTTGGAAGAAAGAGAAGAGTAAATGTCCAGCGAAGGGCAGCTGTGTGGACAAAAATGTCTTGTTAATCACAAGAGCAATGAGAGTGAACAGTAGCTGAAAATACCACTCATTGTAGCTCTGTTATGTAGAAAAGGATTGCAGACTGCACCACATGTTGATCCTTGAATCGGATGAACCGCAGGAAAAAAAACATCCTATTAACTTTTTTAAGACTCTGCGATGGTGTGATGGTTATTAGTAGTGTAAAGGTTTGAGTTGTGTTTTTTCAATGAAATCTTAATCTCAGATACTCTTACTTGTAGTGCTCTCCCTTGGCAAAAAGATCATCTGTGTGTTTTGTTGTTGAATTCGATGCACATTTTGCTTTTTGTTTAACTCCTAGCTTCTTGGAGCTCTCAGCTTTGCTGGCAGAGGATGGACATGTCTTTCTCTGGAACACAAAAACAGCAAAACTGACTAATTACAAAGGCATCATTTAAAGCTCTATGTAAACCGTTTTTTCTATCCACTTAGAAGTCCAACACAAATCAAGGAGATGATAACATAAAAATAACTTAAAGGAAGTGTAAAACTACTAATTACATTACTTACTTGCGAAAGGACGGGGATAACTTTTTTCTTACTATTTTTCTCCGCCATTGTTGTTAGTAAGACGCAGTTGGGGTTGCCGAGCAACAACAACTGTTCAAATGTACGGAAGCCCCTGCAAGACAATTTGCTGGAATTTAGCGTTTATTAAAAAACCTGAGATTAATGCGAATTATATTCAAACATAAAAAGTATTCGTCGCTTCAGACTTAAATATAACACAATTTCTGATTAAATGATAACCTACTAATATTTATAAGATTTTTTTTTAAATAAGTACAATATAACACTTAAAACCTAACACATTTCATTTCATATTTGTCATTCAATGTGTACTAATATTAGAATAGAAATAAGTACAATATAACACTTAAAACCTAACACATTTCATTTCATATTTGTCATTCAATGTGTACTAATATTAGAATAGAATAGAATAGAATAGAATAGAATAGAATAGAATAGAAAATCCCTTTATTGTCCCACAGTGGAGAAATTGTGGTGTTTACAGCAGCAAAAAGATTATAGAAAAAATGAAAACACAATGTGATCCTTAGAAAATGTATACAAATAACATAATAGTGAAGAGTTAAAAAAATAATAAAAACAAATAAAATACTGTACTGTAAAGTGTTTTAAAAATATAAATACTGTGCAGCTGGAGAATAAATGACCAATATACAGCTGTGGACATTTTTACAGTAATGGATATTTGAACATAGCAGCAACATCAGAGATGTGGAAAATGACCCCAGAGGGGCCCTGACCCCCACTGGGGAAACCCCTGCTCTAATACAGCTCAACTTAAGTTAATTGCTTCAGCTAGGAACAAGATATTAAATCATATTCAATTACTTAATCTGTTTTGTTTATAAGATGTCAAGTTAAACCACTGTAAATGAATGAAGTTGTAAAAACCTGATTCAATCATCTGTTACCAACTTAAGAAATGTGCCTCTTTTTAGAGTGATGATTATGGAAGGGTTGAAGCTAAGACTGTAAACCAGCAAAAATATATGTTTTAAATGTGTTTTCTTGAGTATGCATTTAAAACGTAGCTGTTTTAATAATCATGGTACATTTTGTTCTGAGCATAAATTGTAAAGTGAAGCCAGTCAAAACCATTAAACCTGGTCTTTTGTGCTTCAATTTTTCAGTCAGAAATGAAAGAACAAAAACGATAATAGTTTAAACGTAAGTTGGCGTAAACGTCTCAATAATCACAACTTAATGTTAGAGGATATATTTAATGAGATTGAAGCTGACAGTTGTTTTTTTTTTATGCAGGGCTCTCCACTGCGCATGCGTACATCCGGTGTCTACTACTCCGCGCACATGCGGACAAATCTCACAGCGTGTGGGGCAGAGCGGGGCTCACAGGAGAGAGTGATTAGTTTATTTTCTACTGTTTGCCCCCGCTTTTTATTTATAGCCGCCCATCGCAGGGAGTCCTGCAGCCTGAGCTGACCCAGAAGCCGGTGCCTGTCCGGGACTCTAGAGATGTGGAAGGAGGAGCCCTGGGTGGAAACAACAACAACAACAACAACAGGGCGCGCTGCTGTCCCGTTGGAGCGTGTCCCGGTCCATGTCCACTAGCCCCGCTACACCTGTCTTCGTTCAGTCGCGTCCAGCCCAGTCCCGCTCAGAGACGCACCCCGATGGCTGATGAGGATCCGCAGCAGCCAGACCCTGGGGTGGGGAGTCTCCCCGGCCTGCTGCCCGGGCTGCAGGGGGCTGAGGCCAGCGCTCTGCAGCTCAGGATCAAGAACTCCATCTGGTGAGGGGGTGTGCATGCTGATAATGGACGTTTGAATGGACCATTTATTACTGTCCCTAATTTTATAATGTCATAGAGCAAAACACGGGGAGTGAGAGTGGAGATGAGAAAACTAATACAACATATATTATTTAAGTATCAACTTTCAACAGCAGGGGAAATCCACAGTGAAAATGTACAGCGTTGAAATCTGCATTCAGTTTAATCACATGTGCTTAAGTGAACAAAGGCTGTACTTAAGTACAAGTAGAATAGAATAGAATAGAAATTCCCTTAATTGTCCCACAATGGGGAAATTCTGGTGTTACAGCAGCAAAAATATGATAGAAAAATATGGTCTCACAATGTGGACATTTTTACAGACATTTTAAAGTAGCAGCAGCATCAGAGATGTGCAAAATGACAGCAGCATGTTATTTAACTGACTAACATAGAAACTGCAAAATCAGCATGAATGTAACAACTTATTGAGGTTGTTGGGAACAGTGATGGTTATAAAGTCTTCCAGCTGCTGGGAGGAAGGATCTGTGATAACGCTCCCTGGTGCATTTAGGGAGCAGCAGTCTGTCACTGAAGGAGCTCTCCAGTTTAGAATCAGCTTTATTCCAAACTTTCCATCAGTATGCTTTGCTGCACCAAGCTGTTTACGACCAGCTTCCTTAACAATGACTCTATGTGGCTCTCTCTATCTTTAACTGTCTGCTGCCCATCTTGTCACTCAGCAGTCTTCCACACTATTGAGTAAAATATGTGCTTCATTTCTTTCTAAAAATCTCCTAACTTTATTCAGATTATGCCATATTTATAGGGCTGAAAAGCTGAGTTTTGAGCTCCCTGGAGGTTTAAGCCATAATTATTAAAAGTAACAGAAATAAATGCCAGAAACAACTATATGTGTGATTAATGAAGCTGTATAACATATGAGCATTTGTTATGTTTTGATGACAATCCTACTGCTTTTACTTTAAAGGTATAGTGGAGGATGTTCTTTTTCTGAGTGGATCATCAAAATAAGCTGTCCTACTAACCCTCAATCATTCTGGTGATATGTTTTCATAGGGTCGTCCTACTTGCGCGTCCCCATATTCACTTACCGGTGGTGAGGCTGACATAGTGGAAAAATTGTAATCTTCTCTTGAAACAAAGCTTGTATGAGCGATGCAAACAGCAACTTTTAAACAGAGCGTGCACGAGCCCATTTCTCCTCGTGCACGCTCACACGTTTAATAGGTGTTCCCTCTCAGGAGCTGGTTCAGGGTTGTACATGTTCCTGTTTTTTTTTTGTTTTTTTAAGTAGAGAAAGGAGTTCTTTTTAAAAGTTTGTGAAAATTCTCCACTATACCCTTAATTTTATTGATGTGCTTAATTCTAGATTTACTGGATAGAAATAAGATGGGAACTCTTGTGTTTGCTTGGTTGGATCTTCAAATTGACTCTTTTTCATTGAGTTAAAAAATAAATAAATATATTTAAATAAAACTTATTTCAGCTTATATATATTATGTATTATTGTTGTATTGAATAGCTTCAGTAAAGTCTGAAAAAGGAATGTGGGTTTGTTGCATCGTGTAAACAGCAGTGACATACGTCCATGTTTGCTTTTACTCTGTGCTCTGACCTTTTATTACCAAATGAAACCAAGAAGGCCATAAAATGCCAAAAGGCTGAGAGAGCGGAAAGAGTTAGGAGTTCAAGCCTCTGCAGGAAACAGAGGAAAACACATCACTTAATAGGAGCCAGTGCACAAATGACATCTGCAAATATTTTAAATGTTTTCTGCTACGATATGTAGTGAAACCCAACAAAGTCAAAGTGAACAAGTGGATTTCCAGAGTACAGCTGTTGTAATAGCTGCATTTGCTGCTGCTTTTCACAGTGGTTCCTCGTTAGAATAAATCCCAGCTGTTGCATCACTTCTTTATTTCTCAGGCTGAATCCTTGCTTAATGTTTCATCAGGTGTCATTTAATTTACCTGCTATATCTACCTCACAGAGAGCTTAACGAAGAGCTTTCAGCCAATTGCTGAATCAGCAAAGCATAACCACAAGTTAGGTTTACTCCAAAATACAACATAAATCTTTTACAAGGTCATAGTTATCAGTTTTTCATATATATTTTTTTGTTTTAGATTACGGAGATTACTACAATGTTTTTTTGTTTTGTTTTTTCTTTGATAAACGTTTGATGGATATCTGTTTTTTATGTGTTTTTCTAATCCATCATCAATGGTTTTGACCTTTGAACTTTCCAGTGGCTATAATTTTTTTCACAGGCTCTATCCGACTGTCTACCTTAATCACTATATAGTGCCCAATATAGCGGTTACACCATTTTAAGAGTGTCAGAAGGTCTAGTGGATGAAAAAGTAGTATACTCTAAATTTCCCACAATGCACCATGAAAATAGATATCATCCATGTTCACTATACAAGCAGATATATCCCAGATTGCTTTGCGAGAGTTCTCTTGGCAAAGCATCATTGGATTTGTTGTGACAGCGATCCGCTCTTAGGTAATGACAGCAGCGACAAATAACAAATGGCACAGACACCGTGGGAAGAGGCAGAGTCACGTGACCAACACGGAACAAAAAAAGGTCCCTAAGTAATAACTCTTCACCATCAATTGTCACTCCTTACGAAGTCTCACTTGTAGCTGTGGAAGACGCCTTTATTGAGGGTGGGGGGGTATAGACGAGAATGGGAACGCTTCTTCCCTCCAACGAAAAAAGGAAAGCAGTTGTTGCTAAGGCAACACGCCCCATCTGCATAGCTGTAGTTCCTGTGGCACAGGTTAATATAAAATTTACCATTTGCCCCTGTCTTAAAACAAATGTAGACGCTCACATAAAGCTATTTCAAAGAGGACCATCAATTTTTGAATTAATTATATATTTTTTTTCATATGCTCACTTGTGAATTTCTGTCAGTGTGAAGAAGATGCAGCAAACCAGCGGAATTTACGTTTGGCGGAACGTGTTTCATCTGCCACCAGGCCGCTTTTAACCTACCGCCGAATTCCAGCGAGCATGCAACTGATGCACACTCACTTTTTTAGGGCTGAAGGTTTCACCTCTCCCGACCCATTACGTGGTTTGGGATGACCCTTAATGTGGCGGACCCTCCGGGGGAACGCCCAAACGGAGGGTTAGTACTTAAAGTCAGTGTTTAAGGGCCTGTTTGGGATTAGGCACATCTAAGCTCACATCTTTAACTGAGTATATAATGATTGACGGATTTAGGGGTTAGGGCCGACGTTCAGACACAGCCTCAGTCTTGCTCTTATTGTTGAATCTAGTCTGACCGCTACTGAGGTAGCCTGGGTCTGAAGGGCTTTAGATGGTGTTCTTTTCTGCCCTCCTGGATGAGCCATTAATGTTCTTTTGGAATAAAATATAGGCTGGGAAGGTTCACCACTGTCCAAGATGTAGATGGTCCCAAAACCTTAGAAATCTTATTGTAAATCACTTGATTTCGTAATCCTTTTTAACATTCCTTAAGATGACTGTTTAGATTTTTGATACATATCTGAGCCTGCTTTTTTGTGGAAAAAGGTAATCATCTCTGCAATCTAGTTAAATAAAGCAGATAGATGGTCATTCAATCAGTCAGCATTTTATTATCCTTCTTTACAAAGAGAGAACAAAACAGTCATAGCAGCCCGAATAGCTCAACATTCTTCCTGTTGTGCCCTTAAAACTTCACAGCCTTTCTGCAGGGTTTAAGTTAGAGGAGGTTGTCAGAGCTCAGTTAATCAAAGCAATTAATTGGAAAAAACATTAACATTTTACCAATAAAACCCAGAGAAACAGTCTACTTTGATATGAGAACCATTATTTTTAACCCAAACACTTCCTAATAAAATAAACAACTCCTCTCCCTTAGACACCTTGTAGCCTGGCAGTTCTGA